GCTGACGAACTCCTCCTCTAGCTCCTCAAAGGATTCAAACACATTCATCGAACAGAGGCTCGATGGGTCAGAATGTGTTTGCAAGACGACTATGGAGTCAGTAGCTTGGGCCATCTCTCGAGATGGTGAGGGTGTGTCCACCACCTCGACCCTAGCAGGAACAACTACCATTCCTACTGGCCCGACGCGTTTCCCGGAGCAGTGCCAGAACTGCTGGCCACATTGCTACTAACGGGAGCAGAGGATCTCTACGCCTGCCCCATTGTCGGCTAGATCTTTTTGGTTACCTTCTTATTTCGGCACTTGAATTGGTTATGGCCATGTTGGCCACAACGGATATAAGGCTGCCGCGTGTACCGGTCTCTCCACACATCCTCAGTGAGACCCGCTTTCTCCCATGGAGGAGTATTGGGGTCTACTTGACTCCTAGACCGGGAACCTCCACGGCGTCTACCGGTCGCCTTTCCTTTTTGGGCTACGGCAGCGACTACTCCACCCCCTGAAGCCGCTGCCAGCCTCTGAACCTACTCCCTCCTGGACGTTGTCGTCTAACTCGATGGTTGAACCATCGTTGTCGACAAACATAATGCGACCCTTCGCCTTCCAGTTGGAAGGCAATGATTTTCTCCTACCATCCGTAGTGGGTGTATGCCCATGCCCTATCTTTGCCTCGAGGTCTAGGGCCTTCTTGCTAAATGAGGGAAAGTTGTGCATATTGATGTTGGCCTCACCTACCAACTGATTCTTGAGAGGTATGGGAAAGCATCTCAGGTAGGAGGTGAGTAAGACCTGGTGGTCATAGCGCACCCTAGGGACACAGATCAGATGCTCTGCAGCGTCCGTGGCTTCCCTTACTGACTTAAACTGCATCGTGTGCAGTGTCAGGATCGCATCAGTAGCCTTTTGGGCCTCCCGAGGATCATGCCGCCTGTCTTCCACCAACTTGAGAAAGTCATCCAGTTTCTGGGTGACCGCCCAAGCGCGAAAGTCATGACCGTACCCCTGTAGCTGCACTAAACCACTCAACCATCGTGCTGCACTCCCCTCTAAATAGGAGGCACTACAAGTACTTCGTCGTGCGGCAAGGTAAGTTTGCACTTGACGTAGACCGACACTGCCCTCAACCAAATGTCGAGGTCTTCGCCTCTCTTATCCCCTGTGAAGGGTTTAGGAGCGGCGATGGCCGTTTTTGGTACCCACTGACTTTGTCCCTCTACCTGCACCAATCCGGACTGTGGACCTTGTGGTGCAGGCTGCTGCACTATCTGCTAGGGCTGTGAACCCTGCAGTTGTGCAGGCTGCGAGACAGCAGGCTGCCCGCTTACGGCAACCTGAGACGGAGGTTGGGAGGACACTGTCTGTACAGGAACCTGCAAACTAGGACCTGCTGAGAACCCGCCTGTTAAAGGCATACCCAGGGAGACAGGCTGAACCGATGCTGGAGCGGTATATGGGGATACCCCAATCACCGGTGGGACAAAAGGAGGAGGATGTACAACGGGCCAGACACCAGGCCCGAACAGTGATGGTGCCGCCTGCGCTCGTCTGACCAAGACGGCCAGACTCTGCTGGATGTCTCCTGTAAGATCGCCATTTGCTGGTCTTGCATCTCTATTACACCTAACAAGACCGACCTCAGGGTCGTCACCTGATCATCCAACTCCTCTGGGTCCATCTCCGCTAACTCGCTAATGTCCGCTTGTCGGCGCGGCAACCTGGCTCTTCTCCTAATCATTCTTTTTTTTTCTGCCTTAATCTCTCCTAAAGCCTTTTGTAGTCGTGTCTCGCGATCAACAGCTCGCTGTACGGCGACCTCCTCGAGAGTCAACACTATTGGCTGGCTTGCCATTACGCCAGTGGACTGACTCATGGACTGCGCGACCGTTGACCCTACAGTCCCTGAACTGCTAGCCTGGGAACTTTGCTGCGCAGAAGTTGCCATGGCTGCTGAAGCTGCGGCTTCGCTTGCGAACGCCCTTCTGGCCTCTGCTGCCCTGGCTCTCCTCTGCTGCTGCTGCCTCTCCCTAAGCTAGCGGAACAGAAACTTGTCACCCTCTGGTCCTAGGGCCAAGTGGGCTACCGGGCGTCTAGCCGATCGCAAGAGCCTGTCGTCCGGTTGTGGGACCTCCCTGTCGCTCATAAGGTACAGACTGCACACCATCTGCACTAGAACACTCATCCGATGCCTACCGCAGCGTCATGCACAGACCGATCAATTAATCGGTGACTATGTCAGAGTAGATACATTTGGGCTCAACGGGTAAGTTCAGATTCCTACAAACGAAACTACTTTGACTTTGACTAGTTCACAAACAGAAGCACAATGAACAAAGAACAGTTCTAAACTATGCTGTCTGTCAGATGTCAATGGCTGTACATCTAACTAATCAAAATAAAAATAGAATCGTTGGTTGGGTCTGTTTGCAGTATGGAATCTTGCTCAAACTTATCACTTGGAATCTACCCCTCCCTCAGTTTTGCTTGAATGTCTCTTGTCGTCAACATCCCTGAGCAATCGACATAGCGTGCGTGTCTGAAGGTGTGCACACGGCCCACCCATGTGCCCCGAGCCCTGCTGAGCTGGCCAGCCCTGCAGCATATTTATCCTCGCGAGCAGCGAGCCTTACACCGACTGATTGGCTGATCAGGAGCCGTTTTTATGGACGGCCCCCGAAGTCCTCAGGAATTCTTTAACGTCGCAAACAAGGAACGACGATCACAACGAATGGAAGGTATCCCGCCAGTGCTTATTTATAGACGCCCGGTCTCGTCTGTCCCATAGGGCTGGCCTGCCCTTCAGAACCCCTCTACAGCGCAGCGAGCAGACAAAGGACAGCAAAGCATGCGTGCTCTACTCCCGGTGGGTTGGCATGGTGACCGTGACCCAGTGCATCGTTCAGGACCCTTCAGATATCTCCGCCCTCTCCTTCCAGATGCTCCACGTGAAGGCTGACGACTCTTAAGGTTGAGCCCACACAGCTCCTCACATGAGAGGAATCTCAACACACATCCTCACGGTAAGAAGTGTCGAAGAGGGTAGATAAGGTTAGGTGCAACGTACCTCAAAATAGCTGCCCCCAACCACAGATATTCCCACCAGATGACCCGATGTTGATTGTGATGACCAATCGCTGCTTCGGCACAACCAGCATTATACAACCGTTCCACCTCAGCATCAATCACACACCGGATAGTTCTCATCACACTGCAAACAACCAATAATCACCAAACAGCCTTCCTGGCGATACCCCTCACCTCCTGGGTCGCCACTTATCTTCGCCCTCCTCACTACACACGTCCCACGACACGGTCGCTCACCGTACACACCGCGTGCATGTACCACATTAGGCAGAAGATAAGAGCCAGATTAGCGCACCGAACCACAGCTCCAATACCAAATTGCAAGGAAGATGAGCAATAGCGAACTTCAGCAATCAAACAACATCATACACATGAGACCAGATAGTCGTGACCTCGAACCAAAAGCAGAATTGCATCACGAGTTTCACCAAATAAGAGCACACCAAAAGCTCATAAGTGACAATGCTGGAATAGTCTCATCA